CAGGCACACCATCTAAAGGGGACAAAAAGATACAAAACATCCAGGCCATGGGAAAACGGGTAGCCACAGCCACTCAAGAGGGAGAGGTTTTTTAGTGCCAGGAAGGAGAAACAACTGGCAGGAAATGGCAGAAATCGTACACCAAATCCAGTCATTCCTGGAGTGGAACCACAGTCGATGGCCTCCACTCCAAACCAACAAATACCTGGAGTTTACCTGGAGAGAGTTCCGGGGGTCAACGCCCCCGCGGCCCGGTCTGTGACCAGGCCTCCTGGTGGATCAGAGCCTGATCAACCAGGCTGTTACTGCTGGCTGCACGCAAACCAACGTACGAGCCACAGCCCGATGACATTCTTCTTTGCAAATATACAGGGTCTAAAGCCAGCAACATACAACAAAATACCTTTCATCCGTGGACTGCTTGCAGAGGCAAAGGCAATGTTCGCGGCTTTCACTGAGACCCACATAAAGGATCACTTGGACAACGAAATATGGGTCCCAGGTTACAACCTATACAGATGTGACAGAGTGAACAGGCAAAAGGGGGAGAAGTTGGCCTGTACATTGCGGAGTCACTTGTTTGCACAGAACTGCTTAATGCCTCAAATGATGTAGTGGAAGTTTTAGCAGTAAAGATCGAGAACCAAAACCTAGTCATTGTGGTAGTCTACAAGCCTCCGGATGCAGCATCCCAGCAATTCCAGGAACAGCTGTTAAAAATTGACCACTGTCTGGAAAATCTTCCAGCTCCTGCACCCAACATCTTGCTCCTGGGGGATTTCAACTTAAGGCACCTAAAATGGAGGAATATAGCAACTAATACTGTTGCAGTAATAACACCAGGAGGCAGCTCTGATGAAAACTCACACTCACACGAGCTTTTAAATCTCTGCACAAAATTCAATTTAAACCAGCAAATAATAGAGCCTACTAGACTGGAGAATACACTAGACCTCATCTTCACTAACAGTGATGATCTGATAAGAAATGTCACCATATCAAAAACAATATACTCAGATCACAACATAATCCTGTCTGTCTCAACTATTGGATCACTACGACAAGGTCCTAGATGCACTAGAAGACAAAAAGAATGCAGATGTAATATATACAGACTTTGCAAAAGCCTTCGACAAGTGTGACCATGGCGTAATAGCGCACAAAATGCGTGCTAAAGGAATAACAGGAAAAGTCGGTCGATGGATCTATAATTTCCTCACTAACAGAACACAGAGAGTAGTAGTCAACAGAGTAAAGTCCGAGGCAGCTACGGTGAAAAACTCTGTTCCACAAGGCAGAGTACTCACTCCCATCTTGTTCCTCATCCTCATATCTGACATAGACAAGGATGTCAGCCACAGCACCGTGTCTTCCTTTGCAGATGACACCCGAATCTGCATGACAGTGTCTTCCATTGCAAACACTGCAAGGCTCCAGGCGGACATCAACCAAATCTTTCAGTGGGCTGCAGAAAACAATATGAAGTTCAACGATGAGAAATTTCAATTACTCAGATATGGTAAACACGAGAAAATTAAATCTTCATCAGGGTACAAAACAAATTCTGGCCACAAAATAGAGCGAAACACCAACGTCAAAGACCTGGGAGTGATCATGTCGGAGGATCTCACCTTCAAGGACCATAACATTGTATCAATCGCATCTGCTAGAAAAATGACAGGATGGATAATGAGAACCTTCAAAACTAGGGAGGCCAAGCCCATGATGACACTCTTCAGGTCACTTGTTCTATCTAGGCTGGAATATTGCTGCACACTAACAGCACCTTTCAAGGCAGGTGAATATTATAATTATAATTATGGGGGAGCACTAAACCCGTAGGATTATACAGTGCATGTGGGGGGGGGGGTGGAAGGTATTCAGGCTCAATTCAGGGAACTGGAGCACAGATCCAATTCCCTAGATCAAGAGCCCCTCACCACCATCAAGGAACCTCCCTTGAGGGGCAAGGCAGGTGAAATTGCTGACCTAGAAAATGTACAGAGAACCTTCACGGCGCGCATAACGGAGATAAAACACCTCAATTACTGGGAGCACTTGAGGTTCCTAAACCTGTATTCCCTGGAACGCAGGCGGGAGAGATACATGATTATATACACCTGGAAAATCCTAGAGGGACTAGTACCGAACTTGCACACGAAAATCACTCACTACGAAAGCAAAAGACTTGGCAGACGATGCAACATCCCCCAATGAAAAGAAGGGGTGTCACTAGCACGTTAAGAGACCATACAATAAGTGTCAGGGGCCCAAGACTGTTCAACTGCCTCCCAGCATACATAAGGGGGATTACCAACAGACCCCTGGCAGTCTTCAAGCTGGCACTGCACAAGCACCTAAAGTCGGTTCCTGACCAGCCGGGCTGTGGCTCGTACGTTGGTTTGCATGCAGGCAGCAGTAACAGCCTGGTTGATCAGGCTCTGATCCACCAGGAGGCCTGGTCACAGACCAGGCCGCGGGGGCGTTGATCCCCGGAACTCTCTCCAGGTAAACTCCAGGCAACTCTTTCTAGCCTTGATCCCATCCATCACCAAGGATTCTGTTTATTCCTCGGTGCTTTTCGATCTTCACCTGTTGAGAGTCTCTATGCAGAGGTGAATATTTCATCCTTGACCAATCGTCGTGATACTCATTGCCTCCACTATTTTGTACGCTCTCATGACCTCCTCAATCCTTCCATGTACACATATAGGTTAGTAATGAATGTTAATAGAATTATAATCAAAGAAAGCACTAAACTGATAGGATGTTAGTAGAAGTTCCTTATTCGTCTCCTCTGTTTACTCCCATCTCTTTTCATCTACATTTGCTCGTCTTCTCTTCAGTTGCCACCTTTCGATGTTCATGTAGCATCTAACTTTTCCCTTACCCCTTGGGAAGTTCCAACGGTTCATGTCTGTTCTTCCCCACTGCCATGCACAAAAGCACAAATACCTACAGTTGCTTCTCGCTCTCTTTTTCTTAATCACTTCCAGTCTTCTTCTCATACCATCACAGTGTACACTGATGGTGCCAAGTCTTCTGACGGTGTTGGATTTGCAGCAGTGTTTCCAGACAACGTCATGTGAGGGTATTTATTAGCCTCGGCTAGCATTTTTACAGCTGAATTATATGCAATTCTTGTAGTGCTTATCCGTATTGCATCTGTGCCTGTCTTACCATTTGTGGTAGTTTCAGACTCCCTTAGTGCTTTGCAGGCTATAAGAAAATTTGATTCACCTCATCCCCTGGTTCTTCTTATCCAACTTTGGTTACACACCATACCACGTGCGGGGATAGAACCCGCGATCAGAGTCTCAAAACTCCAGACTGTCGCGTTAGCCACTGGACCAACTAGCCACAATCGTGTCATTACGATTTCGTGAGTTTGGTTTCCAGATTGGACACCATATCTCTAGCAAGCACAAAGATACAGTATTGTTTTTTGTTGGGTCCCTGATCATGTTGACTTACAGGGCAATGAACAGGCAGACCCTGCTGCCCAATCATCAGTACATGGCCTCCCAGTTTCATATAGAGGTGTTCCACTCGGACTATTTTGCTGTAATTTCTGCCCACCTTCGCAACAACGTTGGTCTGATCTGCTACATAACAAATTACGTTCTACTAAACCGAGTATAGGTTTCTGGCAGTCTTCTTATCATGTGTTGAGGTTGGGAGACTACTCTCTCCTGTCCTCACATCAGCCACACTGTGAGAATTGTCAGGTTCCAGTTTGTAGGCCAGAATTTACTTCTGACGACATCACCACTCTAATGCCCTTGCTTTATCTTCCCTCCTTGCTGATGGACCCATCTTGACTCACTCTCTCGTTGACTTTTTAACAGCAACTGATTTACTTCACAAACCATACCCCCGGCCAGGATTGAACCCGCGGTCATAGAGTCTCAAAACTCCAGCCCGTCGCGTTAGCCACTAGACCAGCTAGCCACAATAAGATTCATCCAACTAGGTATATTTCTACACCATAGGAAGGTTAGCACAGGCACCACTGTGACCACAAATGCAAGTTTTTACAGACGAATCTCCAGCTAGCGTGGCCGTGACGAACTCTAGCTCAAGTCCCTTCACTGCCGTCAACATGACTCAAGAAATCGTAATGACACGATTGCAAACAAATCATACCCCCGGCCGGGATTGAACCCGCGGTCATTACGATTTCTTGAGTCATGTTGACGGCAGTGAAGGGACTTGAGCTAGAGTTCGTCACGGCCACGCTAGCTGGAGATTCGTCTGTAAAAACTTGCATTTGTGGTCACAGTGGTGCCTGTGCTAACCTTCCTATGGTGTAGAAATATACCTAGTTGGATGAATCTTATTGTGGCTAGCTGGTCTAGTGGCTAACGCGACGGGCTGGAGTTTTGAGACTCTTTGACCGCGGGTTCAATCCCGGCCGGGGGTATGGTTTGTTTGCAATCGTGTCATTACGATTTCTTGTGTCAAGTTACTTCACAAACTTTGATAATGCTGCCTCTAGAACTCCTTGCATCCCTTTCTACTTCTCCCTCTTGCTACCCTATACCCCTGTGGCTTTCCCTGCCCAGCTGCATTGTATGACCCTCCTAACATGTAATACCTCTTCCTCTTGCTACCCAGTGCCCCTGTATTCTTCCCTGCCTTGCTGCACTGATGACCCTTGTCGGTTAATGCTTCATTTTTTATTAAAATAATAATAATAATTCACTGGCACTGAGGCACCTCCCTTGATGGGTCAAACACTTTAATCAGCTTGCTGTCTTACATTCATAGTAACTCTCACGCTTCCTAATGTCCACACTACAAATTCTCTGCATAATATTTACACTACACTTGCCCTTAGACATATCTAGACTGCCTCCAGCCTCCTCCCTACTACAGCATTTACAACCCGTGCTTCACATAACTGCAGTATTTTTCCCCCTATAATATGCTTCGGTGGGAGATGGCCAGCGTGTTGAATATGGTCTTAGAATACAAAGGTTGGGAAATATTAAGGAAACTTATCTGTTTGGCAGTTTATTGAAATGACAATAAGGCATACATATGATCATGAAATTAAAAACCATGATTAAATACATGATGAATCCACACAGAGAAAGCACATGGACGTCTTAACAAAAATGTGCAGTGATAAACATTTGAATACCTTTAATGCATAGAAAAGCCTAGAGCAAACCCAGTTACTACTGAAAAATAGATTAATTTGAGAATTTAAAATTTTACTTAACACTAACCATCTTGCTTTCAGCAATAAAATCTGGAGTTCTTGTCAGTTATTTTTGTGTGCTCACTTCAATCAGCCTACTGTGTTAAGACATCGAACTGCACTAATAATCAATAGATAATCACAACATACAGCACAATACAGAAACTGATGTCTGATAGTCTAAATTCTGTATTACACTATCTTAAGATATATAAAGCTTCTGGTTAAGGAATAATGAAAAAGCATTAAAAAATGTAAGAAAACTATGACTAAAGCAAAATAAGAACCTAATTCTTTGAAGATTTGTTACACTAACATCAGGAAACATTCGATGTATAATTACTCTCTCTCCACACTTAGCGATGTACTCGTTTACCAACACCTCGGATTTACGACGGGCTCTCTGACCAGTATACATACCTAAATAATGTATATGAGAGCAGATTTCCAATCTTCTGTTTATTACAATATACAGTACATACTGTATAAGCCTTTAAGAATATACCAGAAATGTTAAAAATGGTGCAAAGGTGACATTAAAACAATATCAAAGATGGTTGATAAAAACCCACTACCATTATAGTATGCTCCTCATTTAGCAACGAATTCATTTACCAACATGGTCTTAGGAACGGAACTCCATCACTAAGTGAGGAGAGGCTGTAGTTGTATATGGAGGACTATTAAATGTTTTCAATTACAGTACACCTCTTCAATTTTTTTAAAACCAGTTTCAAAATTGAAATCACGAAACTTACTGTACTGCATTCCATTTGAAATACTGAAGAAAGCCACAATACTATGACAGGAACAATTAAAAAATTTGGAGGAGAAACTAGATGACCTTTCAGTTTGTCATGAACCATTACCGAGTCACAACCATTGTGATTTGATATGGTCCAAGAGTGCTTAAAATGTCTGAAGTTTCTTCTTTAAAGTAGGTCATTTGAGAATATTAAAATACTGACCAATTTAATCACAATGACTAGTGGGCTGCTATGTATTTAAATTTGTTTAAACTTTACAGTTTTACCCACTAATATTGCTGATCAACTTCTCAAATTACAAAAAATATCACACTATGTATAATGAAATATACTTTAATTTTATATACGTATATATATTCATCTATCTTGTAAAAGAAACACAAATCAACGTGGTAGGTCTTGAATAGTGCTACAATGCTTTTACAATATGCTGTATTAACTTATCAAACTGCACTAAAATTCCCACGTAACATTGGCTGTAACAGTGCAAAACACTTTTAAGGATATAAATTACATTTCTTTCAAATTAATGGGTTACAAATGCACTTCAAAAGAATCCTATATATATATCCCAACATGCAAATAAGTGCAATATAAACTGTACACATTGTGACTAGAGCTGCAATATTAGACTGCCTTAATGTATGTTTACATACAGGGTGTTCAGACAAGAATGACATTATTCATTATGTTTAACACAACAAAAACACTAAGCTTAAACAAAATACAGCAAATGCTTAATTTGGTATTTCACACCACAAGAGAAAAAAAAAAGTTAGTCAACTTAGTGACTAGCTGTGATGCATTTGGTGGCAAAGGTGCAAAGCAAGTTAGGACGTATTTATGGAATATAACCTTTCTTCTTCTCCATGGGGAAGTGGAACAGAATTCTTCCTCCATAAGCCATGCATGTTGTAAGAGGTGACTAAAATGCCTGAAGCAAGGGGGTTGGAAAAAAAAAACAACTTTCATTTTTCTTTTTGGGTCACCCTGCCATGGTGGGATATGGCCTGTTTATTAGGAAAAAAAATTGTAAATTCATTTACCAACTGAAGCAGCAGTTCAAGAATAAAAAAAAGTCCCTTAAATAAGTGGAAAAGTCCTGGTAAGACTAGCAACTACTGCAACCACACCAGGTTTCAAGTGATATTGTGATTCTCTCTCATTTAGACATTACATAAGCCATTAACAGTGCTTGGATCAAGGTGTAGTTGACCACAACTAAACTCAAGTGTTTTCAAAATTTTATTGAAAACCTTATTCTAAACAGTATTTTATTAAAGAAAGGAATAAATAAAATTGTCATTCTTTTCTGGACATTCTGTACTTTTACTCAGTCACAAATATCTTTAGTGTACACAAAATTTCATTTGAAAATAAAAGCCTACTACTGCCAATGAAATCAGAAAGCCTCCATCTTCACTGTAGAATAAGCTGATTATTAGCCATAGCCATGGCTAAGTTCAGGATTAATTAACAGTGGCAGAGTTGATGATCAAGGAAGCAGAGCTGGTTGTGTTTAAGATGGTGTTGGTAGTAGGGATGGTAGATTGTGATGTAGTAGCACTGGTGATGCTGGAAATAGGGACTGAATGCTCTTGAGTAGCTGAAGGTAGGTCACGCGTACCACTGCACACACCGCCAGCAGAGTCCACATAATCCTCTTCAAGATCATGCTGGGCAACAAGTGCTGCCATTGCCATGTCATATGAAGGGGGTGGCTCTGGGAACATACCTGATAATTTCTTTCTGCAATTATAACATTATTATTAGAGGCTAAAACATAATAAAAGTATATTGAGACTGTAATAAGAAATACTAAAAATATACATAGCATCAGTTTTCATACTTGTCAAGACCTATGAGAATATTGATGAATGAACATGTTAAGAATAGAATTCTGTAAAAGTTTTTAGTAACACAGGAGGGCCCCACTTTACAGCAATTCACTAACACGGATAAGAAAAAAATTAGGTAACGAAAGAATGGATGTCAGATTGGAAGGAGGGAGTAGGGAGGAAGTGAATGTATTCAGATATTTGGGAGTGGACTTGTCAACAGATGGGTTTATGAAAGATGAGGTGAATCATAGAATTGATGAGGAAGAAAAAGGCGAGTGGTGCACTAAGGAGTCTGTGGAGACAACTTTATCCATGGAAGTAAAGAGGGGATTGTATGAGAGTATAGTTATACGTACCACCATTCTTAAATGGGTGGTGAATGTTGCAATAAGGAGAAGGCTGGAGGCAGTGGAAATGTGTCTAAGGGCAATTTGTGGTGTGAATATAATGAAGAGAATCCATAGTTTGGAAATTAGGAGGTGCAGGGTTACTAAAAGTATTATCCTGAGGAGGGGTTGTTGAGGTGAGAGGATGGAACGAAATAGAATGACCTGGAGAATGTATAAATCTGTAGTGCTTTATAGTATTATTATTTGACTTAGCTAAATTTTGTGAGGTAGGATGTAACATATTATGTGCTCAGTTCAAGTCTTGATTGTCTAACTACTGTAATTATCGCTTGCCGGCTTCTCGTTGTTGCTGGGCAGCAACCCACGGAGCTATCACGTGATCGAGGGGGGGGGGGTATCACCTCGCCTGAAGTATTCAGTCTGGTCTAGACTCTCTTGGTGGTTGGACAGATTGTCTGTCTCATTATTCTTGTTAGTTCTGTAGAACTCTGTTCACAGAACATTGTACAGACTTAGTGATTTTCGACGTTGTACTGAGGTTGTGTGTCGCATAGACACACTGAGCAACTCAGGTCCTGACCTAACTTGTACTGGTATCTGTGTATTATCACAGTTGGGGATTTTCTTATGCTGAACTTAGATTCAGTAGTATGGGAGTTTTGTGACTTTTGTGGAGGATCTGCAGATGGTCCCTATTTAGTGTCGTTATATTATCTCCTTGTTCCTGATTCTGTGTCGCAGTTGCTTGTTATATTGTTATTGGGCTTAGCATTCTTTTTATTGTTCAAGCAGACTGCTCTGACTGCCAGTTGGTTAAGAAGTTAGTTTATGAGAGGACTTTGTCAGTCACTTGTTTAAGCCTAGTCGAGTCTTGAGACATAGCGAACTACATAGAGCACTTACATACACACAAACTTACTTGTACATATTTGTAATATCTTATTAAATGTTAACGTACCAGACGGTACTTAAGAATTATAAATGTGATATGTGCTTTCAGCACAATAATATTGTACTCAAGAGAAGTGATATTATTTTGATTACTGTGATTAATTTAATTAATTTAATTTAATTTGATAATATACCTCTAGACTTAATAAATTTATTAAATTTTAATTTCTCTAGTTAGTAGCCTACCAGTTGTAATCCTGAAGCACTATTGATTCATACTGAATTCTAATGGATAATTGGACAAGGATACTGACTACTTGTTACGAAAACCCAGTAACAGGCTGGATGCTAGAAGGGCAGTCCTTTCTAGTATTCACTGGAGATCTCTAAGCTTTTAGAATCGCATTTTTTGTAACAGGGATAAAGGAGGTTTTGTGTGCAAGGGGCCTGGACTTTCAGCAAGTATGCGTGTGTGTGTGTGTGTGTGTGTGTTAGATAGGAGCAAGTGGAGACAAATGGTTTTTATGACTTGACATGCTGTTGGAGTGTGAGCAAAGTAACATTTTAAGAAGGGATTCAGGGAAACCAGCAAGCCAGACTTGAGTCCTAGAGGTGGGAAATACAGTGCCTGCACTCTGAAGGATGGGTGTCGATGCTGCAGTTTTTTAAACTGTAGCACAGGCATTCCTCTGGAAAGACAGTGATGGAGTGAATGATGATGAAAGTGTTACTTCTTTTTCAGGTCCTCCTTTTTTGGGTTGTCTATATTTCTAAAAGTACAAGATACAAGGGATATGTTGTGTATCTTTATACGTATATGCTTCTAAACTGTTGTATTCTGAGCACCTCTGCAAAAGCAGTGATAATGTGTGAGTGTGGTGAAAGTGTTGAATGATGATGAAAGTATTTTCTTTTTGGGGATTTTCTTTCTTTTTTGGGTCACCCTGCCTCGGTGGGAGACGACCGACTTGTTGGGAGAAAAAAAAAAAAAAAAAAAAAAAAAAAAAAAAAAAAAAAAAAAAAAAAAAAAAAAAAAAAAAAAAACAAGATACAACTACTGTATTACAGACTTGATTATGCAGAGCATTAGGTTAATCCTGTACCCCAAGATGCAACCCACAACAGCCATACCATATGCCTATAGTATGTATTTCAACTTTTTCATCGCAACCCAAAACTAAATTTCTCAATGGACCACCCACAATGCCAGATGTTTCCTTCTCATGTCTTCCCTCATACATTTCAGTTTTTTCCATAACCATCTGTTCTGCTGAAACAAATTCCTGATGAAAGATTCTCAGCAGATGGATTTATGAAGGATGAGGTTAATCATAGAATTGATGAGGGAAAAAAGGTGAGTGGTGCGTTGAGGTATATGTGGAGTCAAAAAACGTTATCTATGGAGGCAAAGAAGGGAATGTATGAAAGTATAGTAGTACCAACACTCTTATATGGGTGTGAAGCTTGGGTGGTAAATGCAGCAGCGAGGAGACGGTTGGAGGCAGTGGAGATGTCCTGTTTAAGGGCAATGTGTGGTGTAAATATTATGCAGAAAATTCGGAGTGTGGAAATTAGGAGAAGGTGTGGAGTTAATAAAAGTATTAGTCAGAGGGCAGAAGAGGGGTTGTTGAGGTGGTTTGTCATTTAGAGAGAATGGATCAAAGTAGAATGACATGGAAAGCATATAAATCTATAGGGGAAGGAAGGAGGGGTAGGGTCCCTCCTCGAAAGGGTTGGAGAGAGGGGGTAAAGGAGGTTTTTGTGGGCAAGGGACTTGGACTTCCAGCAAGCGTGCAGAGCGTGTTAGATAGGAGTGAATGGAGACAAATGGTACTTGGGACCCTGACGATCTGTTGGAGTGTGAGCAGGGTAATATTTAGTGAAGGGATTCAGGGAAACCGGGTTTTTTCATATAGTCGGACTTGAGTCCTGGAAATGGGAAGTACAATGCCTGCACTTTAAAGGAGGGGTTTGGGATATTGGCAGTTTGGAGGGATATGTTGTGTATCTTTATATGTGTATGCTTCTAGACTGTTGTATTCTGAGCACCTCTGCAAAAACAGTGATAATGTGCGAGTGTGGTGAAAGTGTTGAATGATGAGAAAGTATTTTCTTTTTGGGGATTTTCTTTCTTTTTTGGGACACCCTGCCTCGGTGGGAGACGGCCGACTTGTTGAAAAAAAAAAAAAAATAATATATATATATATATATATATATATATATATATATATATATATATATATAATATATATATATATATATATATATATATATATATATTATATATATATATATATCTATATATATATATATATATATATATATATATATAATATTAATATATATATATATATATATATATTATATATATATTTTTTTTTTCAACAAGTTGGTCGTCTCCACCGAGGCAGGGTGACCCAAAAAAGAAAGAAAATCCCCAAAAAGAAAATACTTTCATCATCATTCAACACTTTCACCACACTCGCACATTATCACTGCTTTTGCAGAGGTGCTCAGAATACAACAGTTTAGAAGCATATACGTATAAAGATACACAACATATCCCTCCAAACTGCCAATATCCCCAACCCCTCCTTTAAAGTGCAGGCATTGTACTTCCCATTTCCAGGACTCAAGTCCGATTATAAGAAAATAACCGGTTTCCCCCCGAATCCCTTCACTAAATATTACCCTGCTCACACTCCAACAGATCGTCAGGTCCCAAGTATCATTCGTCTCCATTCACTCCTATCTAACACGCTCATGCATACTTGCTGGAAGTCCAAGCCCCTCGCCCACAAAACCTCCTTTACCCCCTCTTTCCAACCCTTTCGAGGACGACCCCTACCCCTCTTTCCTTCCCCTATAGATTTATATGCTTTCCATGTCATTCTACTTTGATCCATTCTCTCTAAATGACCAAACCACCTCAACAACCCCTCTTCTGCCCTCTGACTAATGCTTTTATTAACTCCACACCTTCTCCTAATTTCCACACTCCGAATTTTCTGCATAATATTTACACCACACATTGCCCTTAGACAGGACATCTCCACTGCCTCCAACCGTCTCCTCGCTGCTGCATTTTACCACCCAAGCTTCACATCCATATAAGAGTGTTGGTACTACTATACTTTCATACATTCCCTTCTTTGCCTCCATAGATAACGTTTTTTGACTCCACATATACCTCAACGCACCACTCACCTTTTTTCCCTCATCAATTCTATGATTAACCTCATCCTTCATAAATCCATCCGCCGACACGTCAACTCCCAAGTATCTGAAAAACATTCACTTCTTCCATACTCCTCCTCCCCAATTTGATATCCAATTTTCTTTATCTAAATCATTTGATACCCTCATCACCTTACTCTTTTCTATGTTCACTTTCAACTTTCTACCTTTACACACATTCTCAAACTCATCCACTAACCTTTGTAATTTTTCTTTAGAAATCTCCCATAAGCACAGTATCATCAGCAAAAAGTAACTGTGTCAATTCCCATTTTGAATTTGATTCCCCATAATTTAATCCCACCCCTCTCCCGAAACACCCTAGCATTTACTTCTTTTACAACCCCATCTATAAATATATTAAACAACCATGGTGACATTACACATCCCTGTCTAAGACCTACTTTTACCGGGAAGTATTCTCCCTCTC